TTTATTATTTTATTAACTCCGTCTTAGTTGATCACTTGTTTAGTGTGGCTCGTGAAATTATTTGCAATTTCGTGATCATTCATACCTATATTTCAAAATTCCTTTCAATCACATGCCAACTGTCGTTAATGAGCATTAAAAAATTTAATGATTTTCTCACAAAACAACAAAAGCGGTAACATAATTTCGGTATAGAAAAGATACTCACACCTCACTGCATGAATAAAACACACCTACATAACACTAAAGAGAACCTTCCAGGGAACTCCAGTAATGCAACGTGACTTAAACAGAATTATTAACTGGTTTGATTATAAAGAGGTCAAAATTCTTAGATATGTACAGTGTAACCTGAGATCCATTAACGAATCACTGCATCTTTTGTGCTGGAAGAAAAAGATGCTGGAAATTTGTAAATGTTCCGTTGATGCCTCCGCCATCTGCAACTGATTAATATCATGAACACTTACGATGATCGATAGCTTCCAGAGTTTTCAAACATTGTGCCTTGCAACCGCGAGGCTCCATTACCCCGTCGTCCCGGTCACCTGTTCATTTAAACAGGATATTTCTAACATGCTATTCTTCTACCACTGGCTGTTTACAAAATGTTCGTATTTATTACATTACTCTTAGAGTAATATTTCTACATAGTCTGATGATGACTCTTCTGAAGGAATCAGAATTGTTTGCATCAAATTTTAAAAGAGTTCTGGATTTGTGCTTTTAGCGTATGCAATTACTTGCCGTGTATACAAGTATAAGCTGACAATAAGGGTTTAGTATGAAGTCATTAACTTTCGATATCACTGCTAAGAATAGCAATGTATTGCCACAAGTGCGGATTTACGCGATTTAGTCGCATGGTCTCTTTGCTTGTACGAACCTAGGAGATTATTTAAGCAAGTCAGGGCTCGACAATGTTACAGCAGATAGAGAATATGAATGCAAAACCGGGTGCCCTGGCTGAGATGAATGTAACTTTGTTCGAAAAAAAAGAAAATAAAGCATCGCATGCTTGAACGATCCTTCAGACCGTTGAATGATGAATACGACGTGTAAATGCGAAAATGTGAGAGAAAAAACCTAGATATGCTTCCCGTGGATCAAATAAAATCGCCGATTTTTAAACGAGTATAAAATCTATTCGTTTATGACAACGGGAGCATACTATATTATACGCCATAATAACAACTTCAATGTTATTGCAACAGCACAGAACTTGATAGGACAATCGGCTGCACACATAACTAGAAGAGTGGCCCATCGCTGAGTCAAACAGATATTAGACTTGATTCCAGAAAACAGCAACCGGCAGGTGCAAACACCTCCAGTTAAATGAGGTCGAGGAAAATTATTTGACAGGCGTAGCCAAGAGTCACAAATGACGGATTCATGCAGCGAAATCTACGGGGCGCTCATAGAGCAGTAAATCGAGAAATTCTGATGGCGATCATGTTCTTTAATCGTGCTGTTAGGCAAAACGCTAAGAATGTTTCCAACTCCTCTAATTAAATAATTGTGCACGGGTGGAATTTTATTCTATGAGCCCTCAGGCAATAAACTGCGAAGTAACAGAGTCGTTATGAATCACGGTTATTAACAAGTGTTTCGTTTTAAGAAGCGCTAAAGACTACCGTCGACAGTGTCAAATTTCGGCTCAAAGAATTACCAAAAACGTTCAATAATACAGAGAGGTTGTTGAACAGCTGCGAGAGCTTATTTCCCATTTCTGAGATTGCCAAATTTGAATCTGAACTCCGTCATTTCAGACACGATTTCTGCTAATTGCACGCCATCCAGCACTGTTTTGTGCAAAGTTGGCAGAGACGAAAATCGATTTCATGAAACAAGTTCATCTGTTTGTGATAATAGCCGTCGAGTCATTATAAATCCGCGTCTGAAAGAACGTGCAACCCTAATGACCGATTCCCACAGCATAAGGCTCTAACCTAAATCTGCTTTAAAATCACTGCAGCTACGATTAGAAATCATCATCATCAACATCGGCTTATCTCACACCACTGCCGGACGAAGGCCTCGCCAAGATTTTGCTATAAGCCTCTGTATACTGTAGTTCTCATTCAATAAACTTTTTCAGCTCATCTCGTCATCGACTTGGAAGTCTTCCTAGGAGCTATTAACTTTCTCTCTTTCGAAGCCAGTCAGCTTTCGCTCTGGTCCAGTGATTGTCAATTTTTCTTACAACGCATCTGCCCATTGCAACTTAAAGGTCAGCACTTGGACAACGAAAAAGCACCTATTTGTGTTCTTATCCCTTCAAACAGATCTTCAAGACACTTCTTTGCGATAATCAGGGGATGAATTAAATGGGCACTACTTAAACCACTTGCGGTTTTCAGACGATAATCTTCTCAAGGTCATCAGAAAGATTAAGTAAATTTAGCAAAGCAGAATTTAGAGCCGAATGTCTGCAGCGCTAATGCAGGACTGAAAATTAATCTGAAGAAGACTCAGAAAATTTTTAACAAATACGTGCCCCACGACCTGCTGAAATCTACGGACTTAGGCCTGAAGTGGTAAAATGCTATTCATATCTGGAACAGTTCATCCCTGCAACGGAGAACTGACGCTATGAAATCAAAAGAAGTCTAAAAACGGTGTGGGACACTTGTGGAAGATTGTAAATGTTTTTATCCGGAAATTGCCCCTGTGCTTGAAACGGAAGGTTTTCGATCAGTGAGCATCCAGTGCCTACTAGAGGATGCGAAACTTGGACCCTAAGACTGAAAGCTATTCATAAGCTAACGACTACGCAACACAATACGGAAAGGTGTATGTTGGAATAAGCATGAAAAGACTGGATGACGATTGAGTGATTATGAGCACAAATAACTATGAATTAACTTAAGCCAATTACAAAAATGACGAGGACACGAATGACAGATGATATGATAGATACAACGAATGGTTCCCCTTCTTTAACTGCCGTAACGTTTTACGACGAGTTAAGAGGCCTTGACTGCGCTACTAAATGCATACGATGGTAATATCATGTTGATAAATATTCACCACGTCTGATCTGACAATACCTAATTTAGTGGGTCAGTAGACCCCGGGACGAATGCGCCATCGACGCGCCAAAAGTGAGCTTCAGCTAGAAGTTTCATCCTTCTGTGTCACAAACGAGCATACTGGTCAACGTAAGGAAACAGGAAAGAGAGCATAGTGCTGACCTCAGAAGTCACTATATTCATTTAGTTAACCAAACAATTAACAAACAATGATCGCAAAATTTCGAACTCAGAATCACGAAAAGAACTCATTCGGAAGAGGGAAAAACAAATGGCGTCAACAGAAAATTACAATTCTACTCTGCGTGGCTCCCCTACCTTAAACTAGTAAATGTCTTTCTAACGCAAGGATTTATTTACTCTTACTCGATGATTAGAACTTCTTCATCGCTACAAGGTTGGGTTAGAAAAAAAACTTACTTTGCTACGTCACCAACCGGCACAAAAACACTTTCGCCTACGTCAATCAGCAGCAGTTTCACGGTCTCGGCGATTTTCTTTATAATCGTTCCTCTGTACCATTTGGAGCAATGAAACACGGCGCACGCGATGCCCTCACGCATATCTCTGTAATTCATGAACTGGCGATTGCTCCTGAGCATATCCTGAAGCAGCGGCTTTATCTCCTGCACATAAATCGATTCGTCTTCGACGTTTCGGAAGTATATCTTGTCGAAAGAATAAAACTGTGTTACATACACGTCAGCGATTTCGCTAACGTGTTTTGACGGATATTTAATAATATACAGATTTGTGTCTGTGCGACCTTCGTTCTGCGCAGCCGACGACAGATTCGCAGGTTCATGCGGTGCAGTCTTCGACATCGGCAGCTTTTCTTCGGGTTTTTGTTGATTCATCGGTAATTTAGGATGTTTTGTCGTCTCATCGGGAGCTGATTCCTCACATTCGTCGGATGTATTCTCTATAAAGGTCAAAACTGTACAAATAACGAGGAAGAATAGCCGGAAACAACTATGCGTCATGAGAAAAACAAACCTTTCGACTAATGTTGAGTTTTGAAGAAACGCGTACCCGCTCCTTCACGTGACCAACAAAAAGCTACAACGATCAACCCTGCGAAGAAAAGAAAGTGCTCAGAACATGATTAACAGCGGAAACAGCGATTGAGATCGACCACGCCAACTCAATCTTGTTAGAGGATAACCAATGCAAAGCTACAGCCTAGATCTGAGTCAAAAAATTGATTATAAAAATCACTCAAAACTAAAATATCAAGAATATTGATAATGAAGTGGGAAAGAACCAGAGATGTTATGTTATATTTATATTGATAATGACAGCACTTTAATGCGCAAAAATTTTCAAACGGCTAAATCGTCGTATAATAATATAATTACAAAGAAAAGCAATTAAACATGTAAGTCAATTTATTCATTGCTGTTATTAATATCATATTTCCCGCTCTGTAGAGGAATGCCATAAAGAACCGTCACAATGCCAATTTTTACAGCACTCCGTAATGGAAAAACTGGCCTACTTAAATGCCCAAGTGCATCTGTAGGACAGAAACATTTCTTTGAGACATTAAAGTTATAAACATCATAAAAAAGACATACCAAATTGACGAAACGTTTTAAACAAATGACATTACCCTGGAAAACATAATATCCTTAGTTTCATTACAAGACTTTGTACGCGTGGTAGGCATAATTAGGAATGTTGTGTGGGTACTGTAGGAAAAATGAGAATCTCATCATGACAACGATTGTGGAATATTAGCCAATGAGATGGTTATCGAAGTGATCTCCTAGCGAACGATGGCTAGTCTACTATTCTCGCAGATATGAGTTGCGCAGCAACCGGTT